TTACTAAAATCAAATAAGATACATCTATAATATAAATACAAATTGAAAATCTGAAAATTCTATTCTTCTAATTTTTTTACAATATTTTATTATAATAAAAATGAATTTTTTTTTCATTCTCATAAATATTTCTGGATTAATTCCATAGATTTGTAATTTCAATTTTTCATCGAATAAAATTTTACAAATGTATTTAACAAACTTATATTGACTAATAATTAATTTGTAATTATTTATTGCAAAAATTCTAAAATGTATGTTTTCCAAAAAATATATCAATATTCAAATATATCAAAATTCAGATATTAGTCAAGAAGAAAACACAAATGATAAAAAAAAAGGACAGAAAAAGAAATAAAAAGAATAAAAATATATTATATATCACGTAAATAGAATTCATTTAATCTGAACTATGATTAATAAATTATAACAATTAAATCCTTGTTCTACTTCTCGTATCTATAATTCAAGGCAACAAGTCACAAAAATAGTAAATAACAATAACGGCCATTAAAAATATTATATTCAGACTCGAATTCATTTGAAAATAAAACTCAAGAGTTTTTCTCAAAAGTATTTTTAAATAAATGGATATTATACTGAGAATGAAAGTTACTATCAATGGTTATTTTCAATCCAATATCTGTTTGTAAAAAATGTTTAAATGCGAATATATTGAATGAGAATAAGTCAAAAGTTGCTCTTGAAAGAATAATTTTAGCTAAGTTTAGATTACAAATTGAGAGTGATTGTTTAAAAATAATTGTTACTTTCATGATTGCGACCTTCGCAATGTATGATTATTTTCTGATAGTCGAAGAAAGTTGTATTTTCTAATTTTATAGATTTTTATCTTCGAAAGATTGTTTTTGATTAATTTATGAAATGCTTCAAAGGTTTTGAAATTTTTATTTTTTATTTAGATTATTATATTTATTTAGATTATATATTTTTTTTTAGATTATTATTTTTTAAGATATTCTTAAAAATATCTTAAAAAATTTATAAAATCAATTAAAATAATATTTTTAAAATTGTAATACTTCATAAAATTTCTTGATCAAATTTATTGATATTTATTATAGGAAGTAAATTTTATTAGAAGTTATGAATAAACCTGTACATTTCGTTTCATGTCTATAGTAAGAAATAATCTCACGAATGTTTCATGAGTGTTTCAAATGCAAATACATTTAAAAGAAAAACTTCGTCTTTTAAATATGTTTAAGCAAAAATCGCTCTCAGAATTATTTTTCACTAGTGGACACTGATCGAAAATTATTCTCAAGTAATTATTTTCAATGCAATATTCAATTGCAAAAAATCTCATAAGAATTTTACTTTCAATTGCATTCACACTCTTCAAATTCATGGCCGCATATCCATACCGTGCTGATATTTTCCTCGAGTCGATCATTTTAATCATACCGTACCCATGATATTTACGCCATTGCAATATCGTAACCGAGAAAATGTTATTACCGCAAGCTGGAACGATAGTAAATCCATTGGTTCAGCAATAATCGCGACCTGGCCGTTTACGACTGTTTCACAGCGATTTTAATTTTCACCCTTGATGAGCATAGATTTATAAATCGAAAGTAGATTCGCAGAATTCGGACGAATTAACATGCATTTAATTCACGTTCTTCAGACGCGTATTCGCTTTGCGTACAATGGCAACATATTCGTATCATTTATTATTAAATCCTAATATACAAAAAAATGATGATATAAAATACGAAAAAAACGCAAGAAATGAAAAATATTTATCTGATTTATAAGTGAATTTCTGTGAATCTTAAAAATTATTTGTTTTTTCTTTATAATTTATTTGATATCTTTATAAGAAAAAGATTTTTTTATTTTTTTAAAAAATCTTAAAAGAAGTGTTTTTTCTCGATTATAATTTCATTCTTTATTTTACAACTCTTTAAATATATACAAATGTTTATTGCTTATTTTTTTATAATTTTTTAAAATTATAATAAATACAAAAAAAACAATTAAAATAGAAATTCAATACTTTCCTATGCTTTATTAAATTGAAACAATGAAATTAGATTATTAAAAATATCAAATTTTATAATTACTTTTTTTCTTTTTCTAATAGTCCGATTCTTTTTCTAAGAAAATTGTTTGTTGATCAATTATAACAATTTTTATTCAATTTTGATCGTTATATCTCAATATTCTATTCTTTTTTTCTAATAACTTTTCATTTTCTTCATTATTATTTTTAAAGTTTTATAATATTTTTAAGTTTCAAAAAATTTTGAACAAAAGATACGCAAAATAGAAAAACATAAATTGAAATTTTAATTACAAATAAACGATATACTGTTTCAGATAAGGAAAAAAAATAAATAATTCATATTTTATTTATTAATTAAAATATTTAAATTTGGACAAAAGGGATAAAAATAGAAAATAAACTATTTTGTGTATCAATAAATTTTTAATTCTTGCTGATTCAAAATGTGTAAATCAATTATAAAGGTACAAAAAGAATTCTATACAGTGTTAATTATTTTTTCTCCCATATCAATTTTCGTTTTTATTTCATTTTACTTGAAAACTGGATCTTACATACATGTATATACTATAACGATATGGGATTAAATATACAATATCTACAATATTATTTGCTAAATATTTTGATCGAAGAATAGCCCATATCCATACCCTCACACAAGACGTTCCACGAACTCAATAAATCAAATACATCAGATTTAATTTTTAATCGAAAGAAAACACATTTATACGGATACATTGGTGTAGACAATTTTCATATCTTGATAGTGTAATTCGACAACAAATCCAAAGCTCGCCTCCAAGTGGATTGGCAATCTCTACCAACGTATGTACAACCAAAGCTCACTTTCAACACGTACACATCACTAGAAAGAAAAGAAACCTCGGAAGCGTGATCTTGTTCTTTGCTGTCCATGGATCTACTGTTGTTCTCTTTTATTTTTTGCGTGCTTATATTTCGGAATTCGCGAGATGGAAACGGTTCCTTGGTCGCGATCATGTTATTTCCGCCTTCTTCCTTTATGGATGCATTATTCGTTCGCGATGCTCTTCCTTGCATACAAGAATAAAAAAAGAAGAAGAAGAAAAAAAATCGGTAAGGAGAGGGATCAGGACTATCTCTTCGTGAACCGAGAATCGGTGATTACAGCCAAGATGTGCACTGGTGGTGATCGGTGAGCAAAATTTCCTTCTAATTATTCGCCTGGTCCCCGGTTTGTCCTTTACCACCAGCCTGAAAAGAATTTTTCGTGCGTTAATCGCGAAGGGACGACACTCTTCTTCATCGGACGATGGCCCCGGTGACGCGCTTTTGTTTACGAGCCTCTTTGTTTTTTATGATCCTCGTTGTTTTTTTCCCCATTATTTTATAACGCGAAGCACCCTTTAATCAAAAGCATGGAACCTCAACAAGCCAGGTGGGATTGTTCGTTATGTCGCTTCGTCCCAATTATACTCGATTTCGAAAATTTGTTTCTCGTTGTAATGTTATTTCATCAAAAATCTAAAGTCTCTTAATTAATTGGAATCAAGGCCCAGATTGAGAAGGAAGATCGAACGTTTAGTTTTTACGCGAGGAAATGGACAAATGTGTTTTTAAATGAGATCGGCCGAATTTTTATTTTTCCATTTCTTCAAGGGGAAAATAGCTGGCAGACTTTTTATCGGCTTGTGCATCGAATCTTCTACATAAATAGTTTAATTGGCATTTAAACTGGCATGCCGTTTATAAATTTAGTCGAGATCCATTCATTTTCGAATAAATATATAGATATTGCATTTCGAATTACTAAACCAAGTAATTTATCCGATATCTCATCTTTCCACCTGATTCCGGTTAAAAAATAATTATATTCATATTATTCGGTTATATATATTAATATACAATGGTTTATGAATGAATGATTAATTTTATATAATTTGATTGATAAATCTTCGAAGCGAATAGCAATCTTAGAGAGGAGGAAGGGAAGAAGATGAATCACGAATTCATTATACTTTATAATAGTTTCGTGAAATTATTAAATTATTTTACATAAAATTTGATTATATAGTACTTTTAATAACTTTCAAATTACTTTTAAGAAAAAATAAATTTTAATAATTAATTCTATTAGATTCTTAAAATATATTTTTAAAAAACCGTAAGAATTATAAAAATATTGTAATATTGCATGGAATTATTTGATGATGAATTTTCAATTTGTTTCATTTATTTTTACGTGTTTTTAAAAATACTAATTTTTATAAAATTTAATAAACGCTATAGATATTTTTTATTTGTCTAATAAAATTTATTTGATATTATTATTCTGGTTAATGATAAGCGAAAAATACAAGCCAAAATTACGTATATTTTATTAGTTATTTTTAGATTTTTTACCGTGAAGAAAAAAAATATTTTTACTTTTACAAAAAATAAGAGAAAATTTATTCAAAATAAATTAAAGTAAGAAAAATAGAAAAAAGCAAAATAAAACAACTTTTTGTCTAATAATTCAACAATTTTGAATAAATATTAAAGTTTTTAATATTTCTTTCATATTTCATTGAATCATCATTTAATTAAATCTAATAATTATTTTAATATTTAATTAACTATTTTTAACATTTCATATTCATCATTCCATTTATCTTCTCTTATTTTAATAAATTAAATCAAGGAACATTTCTCATAAACAAACATGTAAATAAATCCCTTTGCCTTCGAATTCCAGTTTAACCAGCTAATTAACGCATTACACTTTCAACAAATCTATCAAACAAAGATCCGTCTTTCCAAATCAAACCGTAATTTTCATGCCCCAAAAAATCATTCGTGATTCATTGCTTTTCATTTCGTTATATATATTTTTTAAAATTTTACAAATTTTCAATATTGTTATTGCCAAACTGATATAAAATGGTTGCCAAATTAGTACACTAAAAACAAAGAAAAATGAAGAGAAAAAAAAATGCTGTTATAGAAAGTTCATTATAACTTTTAACTTCTTCGATTAATCATTCTTACTTTAAAATTAGTATCAAAGTAAAAAGGAAAAAGAAAAATAAAAAAGAAAAAGATCATAGAAATTTTTTTGAACATTTTCAATCAATCGAAATTAAGAAAAAAAAGAAGAGGAATGAAAAAAAAAAGAAAAAAATCACAGAAAATTCCTTCTAACTAACTTCGATTAATATTCTTACTTCAAAAAGAAAATTGAAACAAAAAAAAAAGAGATCATAGAAAAATTTGTGATAATTTCAAACAATTTCAATCAAAGTTCCTACTTCAAAATTGATATCAAACCGCAGAAAAACAAGAAAAAATACAAAGAAAAAGGATTGTTAAAAATTCATTATCATATATTATTTAACTCCAAATATTTTTCATTGATATTTCAAATTTATTGACATTTAAAAAAAAAAGAAAAAAAAGATAAGATAAATAAAGAAAAGAAAGAAGAAAAAGAAAAAAGAATTAATATTTTGGACAAATATTTCAAAAGTCATATTAATTACTCACCGCCTCCACCACCACCACCGCTCCATCCACCACCACCACCGCTCCATCCTCCTTTCCATCCACCACTGCCACCACTCGGCCATCCGCCACCACCTCCAGCCCATCCACCACCGCCCCCACTAGGCCATCCACCGCCTCCACCGCTAACAGTGATCACTTTGATGATTTTTCCGCCACCTCCGCCTCCACCTCCACCACCTCCGTACTTCCAGCCGCCACCACCACCGCCACCAGACCAGCCACCGCCACCTCCATTCCAGCCACCACCTCCACCAGACCAACCGCTGCTTATGTAACCGGCTGTAAAGTGAAACAAAATAATCCAATGTTTTTGACTAAATAATGAAAATTGATAAAGTAATGATATTTATTATAAATTATTGAACTTTGATTAATATGTTAAATAGATTGATAAAATATGTGAAATCATTATTGAATATTTTTAGAAATATAGAAGGAAGAAAAATATTTTCACAATAAAGATTATTCTTTTCTGATAATATTTAATCCTTGATTAATAAAAATAAGAAATCTGCATATCGAATTTGATATCGAGAAGAAGTAATTATGAAATTTTTAAATTTATATAAAATTTTATATAGATAAATAAATTCCAAATGAAAAATATAAATAATAAACATGTCAATTTGTTTTATTAAAAATTATATTATACGAAACATAGAATTTATGTTTCGTATTTTAAAATATGATAATAGTATTTTGTATTATTGTTTGTTATTATACAAGGAAAGTGTCAATTTATAATTTTTACACGAAAGTTTGTGAATATTGTACGAATAAATTATTTAAAAAGTATCTATCTTAATTCTTTGCTATCAAAATTTATATGATACATCACTATGTTTCAAAATTATTTAAAATTTAATACCATTGAACGAAATACTCATGCTAAAATAAATCGAACCGTTATTTCTGTTTCATGCATGTAAAAGATATCAATTTCTAACGATTTATTGTCTATACTTATTTGTTAACTATATTTCTTTTATTTTCAAATCTTCCCCGCGGTTATTACAAGTACATGGATGATTTGATTTCATAGTATTATATAGTATAATATTGCCTCGATTAACGATTGAAGGCAAGCGATTGTGAAAATTGAGAGAGCGTGCGCGCGTTTTTACCCGTCACTCGATTAACGTCTTCTCCGAGGGAAAGCTCTTTCCAATCGTCAGGAATCAGATGACACATAATATCAATACAATCCTCTTCCTGATAAAGATAGTAATACGAAACGTTGAGATAAAATTTCTACTGGACGTGACTCATCAGGAATTCAACTCATCCAGGTGTTCTACGTAATAACATATTTCGTTCACTGGTTAGGTTAGGGTACTACTCACCATAGGCAGTGGCTACGAGCGCCAAAAGAATCGTAATCGCGAACACCTGTAATGAAAATATCGCGTGAATTCTTCAAAATAGAGATGGAGAGAAATACGGATGATAAAAGGAACACCGTAAAGATCGAGAGGCTCACGCACGCCTGTGTTACCACGTACCTTCATGTTGAGGTGTTTGATGCCCATCGTCGGAACCGGTGCCTCTTTTATAGCTCTTGCCTTTCTTCGCAGATCCCCGCCCTTCCGCCTCTCTCCGTTCGGTCACCAGTTCGTCTTCTGGTACTCAGTAACACCTAACTTTCGTCCCACCACTATTGGAACAAAAATCTCCCTACCAACCGACTATCAGTATATGCACTTCAAACCCCCTCTTCAGGGTCTCTCTCTCTTGTTACCGATGTAACCAATGTAACGATCCTCGTGCCGGTTAATCTGAACGGACGATCGTGAATCTTTTGAAGAAGCCGCCATTGCGTTACAGGGTCGTGCAATTCTTTCTACTTACCGCATACATTTTTTGTGTCTTTTAGTACGTATATTTCATTTCTGAGTTTATCTGTTGTGTGAATTTGTTTTGTCTTTCTTTTTTTGTATGTATATTCTCTCTTCTTTTATTGTTTTTCTGTCTCTCCAATTGTGGATAAGTACCTTTTTTTTGTCTATCTATGCATTGCCTTTTTGTTTTCTCAAATATTTACATCTACAAGAGTATCTACAAAGAGTGTACTTTTAGTATTTAGATTTATATCTGTCAGAATATGTATATTTACTCTTTGTTTCTAACTTCTATGTTTTTATGCGTTGTCTTTTTTTCTATATCTAAAGTATGTTATGAATATACCAGTAGATCTTCTGTAGATAGTATCTACATTTATATTTACATCTATATTTATTATATATTTACTATAATATAATATTTACTGTATATGTAAATATAATATACCGTATATGTTAATATATGTAAATGCAGTTTATAGTATCTAACTATCTACATAATTAAAGTATGTGCATTTATTTTCTATCTTTTGTATATATGATTGTATTTTCTATATTTACTAAATTTTTTTTATATTATTGAAATAAAATATTAAAATTATAATTATAAGTAATAATATGTTTCATATTTCTATGAAGTACATAAGTACATAAGTACTTCATAAGTACACACAAGTATTTTAAATCTATTTAATCAAACATATATCTATTATATTATATTATTTTGTATTTTTTGTTATTCTTTCGTGTTAATTTTTATTATTTTGTTAAATAACTATTTATATCTTTTTGTAATATTTCATCTTAAAAATTTTTCATAAAAGAATTATTGTTAAATTTTTTAAGTCTAATAAATTTGAACATATCATCAATCAATTAAAAATTGAAAATTTGTAATATTATTTGTTACATCATACGAAGGAATTATATAGTTTGATTCATGATAAGAAATAAGTTTCTTATCATGTTTGTCAATTATTTGTCATTTAGTAATTTTTTCTTCATTTACTAAATAAATATATTTATCGTAATGTAATATTTTAAATAATGTTGTTGTAATGTTGCTTTAGTTAGTTAAACAATTTATTATTTTAATTATTTTTAATTAGTTATTGAGTAATTAATAGATAATATATTTTATTCAATAAAATAATTCTTGTTCAACGTAAAATTTTTTTTAAAAATATCAAAATAAATGTATTTCGTTATTATTAAAAATTGTAATAAAACAATTCTTCTATACTATATAAATACTTTTATATATATGTAATTAGTCATAGAAGTTTTTTTTTTATATATATTTATACATTTTACAAAAATTCAATTAACAATTTACATTGTCGAAAGCAACAATATTTTTGTTATGTGAAATAGTATAAATACATAGATCATAATGAATTATACATAAAACATTTATTTTTTAATGAAATATTATTTCAATGGAAATATTATTTCAAAATCAATTCTTACAGTTTCGATATTATTTAATTTTTCTAAAATATATAATTTGTAATGATATAAAGTAAAGGAAAATTTTAAATTATAAAATATTCAAATTTTAGTTTTACTTTATTACTCTCTATTATCCATCTAAAAAATATTTAGATAAATTTTTCATTATTCAAAATATGGAAAAATGATAAACATTTAAAGATTGATTTCATATACTCGAAGAGATTTCCTATCAAAAATAAATTTTTAAAAATATTTACAAATGCTCTATTATATACAAATTTTCATTAAAATTACATTTGTAATTTTTTTTATAAGAAGGAAGACTTTTGTAAGTGTATGTGCCCTCTTTCTCTTATACTCTTTAGTATATCTATACTCTTTAGTATATGCATTCCAAAATCGGGAATAGTGAAATTCGCCGACTTCGTTGCCGGAGGAAACGCGATGATTCATTAGAAAGATAATATCCAATGCTTATGGAATGTTTACCCGCGAGATGCTCGACAGGGATTTTTCTTCCTTTTCTTCGTCGTTGAACGAGGCTGTCATCGCGACATGGGGTTTTCACGGTTGCATGCCGGTTAGAATGTTTGTAGGCGCGGGAAGAAAAAGTGCAACGATGATGAGGAATCTTTAGAATATCTCATGATGCGAGAATTTGATGCAATTTCGTGGAAAACACGTCAGCCTGGGAATCAGGAGACCAAGTTCGGAAGAGAAACGACCGAGTGTTGTGAGTTTCGTTGTTTTCGTAACGAACTCTTATCTTTCTTTTTTTTTTTTTTTCTTTATACCAGATTTCTCGAGGAGATGAAATTTAATGGGAGAAGATAAAATTAACGTATTTGAAATTATGCGATTGATTTGTGAAACGAATGAAATTGCTTGAAATGTGAATGTTTATATTTATATAATGTTTATATTTATATTTGTTTATATCTATTTACTTGTTTATTTTTATTAAGATCTATATTTGTTTCATGTGTTATATTATTTGTATTATTCAAGTGTTATATTTGTCATAAATTAAATGATGCACTTGAATGATGAATATTTATTATTTTTAAATCGATGATAAAAGTTGATGAAAGTTTTAAAGATATTTTTATTAAGTTTCGTTCATATATGACACTTTAATCTTAGAATGTTTAGATAGATTTTGTATAATTTACAGATGAAGTTTATAGATATATTTTGATTATATAAATGGTATTATAATAGACATATATAAATACATAAATCATAAATCACTTCATTATAATTATAGATCATTTGTTAACTATAGTATACATTTTTTTGAAGTAAATAAAAATTTTTAATATATTTTATATAAATAATAGATTATAATAATTAATAAAATAATATCATTATTATAATCTATTTTGTTTGAAAATCAATTCAAATATAATAAAGAAATCAGTTTTTCGAAATCATGATAAATATTATAAATATAATGTAGAATATTATGTTATAAAATATTATATTGAAATTTTTTGATAGAAAGAAATTATAGCATTTTAAATGCATGAATATTATATACATGATCTTCAAATGCATATATTTCATGAATATTTTTAAAAACGAATGCAGTAACATTATATAAATTGCTATAAAAAATGTAGAATCTGTTTGAAACTTTATAAATTTTATAAATTTTATAAATTTTATAAATTTTATTATAATTAAAGATGGGCTAAAACATATTAAAATCTTTATATTTTAATTATCAAAGTTTTACTTATTTATGTATTAAAATATATTAAAACTTATTTTATATTATTAAGAATTTTATATTATCAAAAATGATAGTTTAATAAAAAGTTTGCAATATAATTTATCATGGTATTTCAAAATAAGTTACAGTTGTTTTCTATTTCTTAAATTTCTTTTTATATTTATCACACTTTTTATTTTGATATTTTATATATATAAAAGAGCGAATCTTTTTTTTCCGTTAAAAGATTTAAATCACATGTATCCTTTTTTAATCGCTCTAATCGCATATTCTTTCACTATCATATATCACTAAATCAATAAGAAAACTATTAAACTTTCATTTTTCCATTACAAACGTTTCGTCCTTGAATTCGAGCCAATTCTTCCTATTCCATCATTTTCCCATATTCCGTCCCAAACTCATCTATATTTCAATCTATTACGCAAACCATACTTTTACCAGACTGGCGAAACGCAACAGCTAGTAACATCATTGTTACGAGATTTAGCTCAGTCACTTAATTGAGAAAATTCGCCAGTGCATTATGATCATGCGAATCTCAAGATTCTGAACTAGTTTTATTTATCGAATCGTATGATAATTTAACCTATCTTAGCCTACCTAATCTGGCAATTAGAATTATTTTACATATTATCTTTAATGAGTTATCAATTTTTATATTATATTTATAAAATAATTAAGTCTGCTTTATTTACAAATAATATTTAATTTTTTCACTAAGAAAGAGAATAATTTTGACTTAGATTTTTGTATTTAATAATATATCATTATATTAATAATATTATACTATAACAATTTTAAAAATTAAAGCGAATTAATTCATTTTTTCTGCTTAATTTTTTCTTTTTTTTTTTTTGAAAAAATTTGTCTTTTTTCATACTATTTCTAATTTACTAATTTTACTAATTTTCTCATACTTTTTGATTATTGTTATCTTAGTAATTCTAACTATAATTTAACTTTTCATTTGATAACTATTAATATTTTATCATACTCGAATTTTAAATTAATTAATTAATTAATTAAAGAATTATTTATAGAAAATATATTCATTGAAATAAATTAATATAATATATATTTATGAGGAAAGTGTAAATCGATTTCAGATATATAATATATAATATAT